GCTCCTCGCGCGTGGGTATGTTGATGCCCATGTAGCAGGGATACTGCAGCGGGGGGCTGGCGATGCGAATGTGCACCTCGATGGCGCCCGCGTCGCGCAGCAGCTTGATGATGGGGCCAATCGTGTTGCCACGCACAATGGAGTCGTCGATGAGGACGATGCGCTTGCCCTCCACGTTTTGGGCGAGGGCGCCGAACTTCTTGGCCACGCCCAGCTGGCGCAAGCGATTCGAGGGCTGAATGAAGGTGCGTCCCACATACCGATTCTTGCAGAGCACCTCGCCAAAGGGCAGCCCCGACTCACGGGCGTAGCCGTGAGCCGCCGCCGTGCCCGACTCCGGCACCGAGCTGACCAGATCCGCATCCAGCGGCGATTCGCGCGCCAGCTGCCGGCCGCACTGCAGCCGCGCCGAGTAAACCATCTGGCCCTCGAACATGGAGTCGCTGCGTGCGAAGTAGACGTACTCGAAGATGCAGAAGGCCATGCGCTTGTAGTCCGGCCGCTCCACAATGTCCACGGTGCGATAGCCATTGCGGGACAGCTCGATGATCTCGCCCGGCTCCACCTCGCGCACGTAGCGAGCGCCGATGGAGAGGAAGCCGCAGCTCTCGCTGCTCACCACCCAGCCCTCGGCCAGCTGATCCTCAATGTTCGCGTGGCCCGCATCAAAGGCCACAATCTTGCCCAGGCAGAGCGGCCGATTGCCATACGAGTCTCGCACGGCGTATATCTTGTCCTTGTGCATGACCACCAGGGAGTAGGAGAGTGGCGCCAGCGTCATGAAGTGGCGTATGCGTGCCGGCCAATTGGGCCCATCGTGCTCCGACACATCCTCCGGCGCACAGCACAGCGACTGGGCGATCAGCTCGCTGTCGCTGTGCGTCGAGAGGCCCACGCCCCGCTCGAGCACCTCGCGGCGCAGCGACTCGCAGTTGACCAGCTCTCCATTGTGGGCAATGGCCAGGGCGCCGTGTGCCGTGTGCACAACAAAGGGCTGGCAGTTGACCACCTCGGAGGCCGCGGCAGTGGAGTAGCGGGTGTGCCCGATGCCCAGGTTGCCCTTCAGCTTGCGTATGGCCTCGTCGTTGAAGATGTTGTTGATCATGCCCATGCCCTTGTGCACGTTGAAGTTCTTGGAGCTCTTGCCCAGGCTGGTGGCAATGCCCGCCGACTCCTGGCCGCGATGCTGCAGCGCCACCAGGCCCAGGCAGATCATCTGTGCAATGTCCAGCTGCAAGCAAATCCAGATTCACACATCAATAATATTCGTGGCAAACGAATGTTTCGAATGTTTCGAATGCTTCCAATGCCATGGCAACAGCTGACAAGCTGACGACCGATAACGCGCTCTCTGATTCTCTGATTCTCTGATAGTGCACACATATTTTCCTGTTATTTTCCATTTCATTACAAGCAACAACAACAACAACAACAACAACAACGACGACGACGACGACGACATCAATACTATAACTGATTTCAAGCAATTACAACCGCAATGCGGCGCTCAGCTTTGAGCTGCGCTGCCTTGCATTGACGTCATCGTCATCGTCGCTGGCGCTGGCACTGGCCTGGGCCTGGCCCCCTCGGCTGAGAAACGGGGGGCTGAACGGGCTGTTTTATGACCTACTTGCGATCAGTTTACACTAGAGGAGCTCTGCTCCAATGCCACCCAGCTGGCAAAAGTGATCGACGCAATCACGTGATCAATGAATTTGTGAATCTAAATCAAAGATTTACCAATGGTTTCTCAATAAATGCTAAGAAATTCATAAGCGACTGAGCTTCAGTGAAACAAAGCTAAATCTGCTAGAGTATATATGTATATGTGTGTACAAACCATGAGATAATTTATAAAATCTATAGAGCTTGCAATAAACTTGTGATTGATTCAAATGCTGTCAGAGGGAGAAGAAATATATTCCTTTCTATTTGACTTCTCTGACAAACTGTTTGATATGATTTATCCAACTTTAACTAATTGAACTTCTAGGATAAGTTTTAATCTGAAACAAAAACTATATATTCGTAAGTAAGTGAGAGAGATCTGTAGGCATGGAAGAAATTATCCATTAGAGCTCAATAGTTTAAACTAAAATTTTCTTTTTACCTATACCAATGGAACCTCCCAGAATTCTATATATGTATATATATATTTACATATATATTCCAAGTCTCACTCTCATAACAATATCATTTAATCACCTGTGTAGGATATTCGCCGCAGGCAATGGCACCAAACACTCCACACTCGCAGGTCATGCCCGTCACATGGTCTCCCTTGGGCTGCTCCGATTTATAGATCTTATTGGGAAATACTTTTACGGCTGCACTGCTGGCAGCGACTTCTCGCTCCCGGCTGCAACATGACTGAGCATCTGTTGAATAAAGATTTGCATGTTACTACAGCTGATCGTCGACTGAGCGCACATTCTCTGCCTGTGATGCTTACCACAAACATTTCCACATTCACTTTCAGCCATAGTCAGATTTTTATTTTGTATATTGATTTCTTCTCGAATCGTGTGTTTATTTGTGTGTGTGTATGTGTGTGTGTGATCGATCAGTGCACTCTAACTGGCTTGTCGATCGTTTCCTATGTACAAATTGAGACACTTAACACTTGGCACGAGATCCGTTTCCTTCGAGTTCTACTATTCACGTCTGCATTGAATGAATGCCAGTGGAATTATGAGTGTTCAAGTTACAAGCGCGGTATATTAAAGCTTCAAAAATCAGAAGCACTGATCAGCTATATACATATACATATGCATATGCGTATACATACATACATATACATAATCGTAAGTGTATATGGCATGTGTACATCATGTAGCTGATGCTGATAACTGCGTCGCTTGCATTTTCGCAAAAGGTTCCCAACCGCAGCAGATCACTTGATATTGTTTTCAATAGCACTGCGAATGTACAACAACAACGGCAACAGCAACAAAAATAAACAAATCACAGATAAAACAAACAATGCTCGCATTCCATGCCACAAAATTATGTTGAGCGGCTAACTCGATCAACTTCTCATTGATCTTGAGGCCAGGCTAATTGAATTTAAAATTGAGCAATCGATTGTATTAATTCGCTTACCTTGACTCACGCTGCCAGATAATTTTCCACAGCGATCTTGCCTCATGCAGCGCCGCTTATCATAGCTTTGTTGCGGCTTACCGCCTGATAAGGTGATAACCAAGCGACGCATTGGAAAATGCGTGCAATGACGCATTTTGGTTGACTTAGAAGCGTAAACAATAACAGATTAAAGATTCCAGATTCCAGATTTGTTATTATTTTCCTTTTGCAATAATTGGGCTGCATTATCAGAAGAGTTAATAATACACAGACCCCCCAAGCAGCTCGATCGATAAGTGGCCAAGCGGAGTCGATCGCACGATCGCAGAGCTGTAAACAAAACCAACAGAGAAAAATCTCTGAAAAGTTCTGCAGGAATATTACGAAATTGAAATACTCTAACTAAATAAATACTTGAATATAAGCTATCATAATTTTGAATTGTTTATCGATAACTTGATATAAATCGATCTTTCATTTTGAATTTAAGTATAATTTCTATAACTGGCTATACATTTAAAAAAATATATATCCGATAAGAGATCATAACATGAGATCGGTCAGTCAATATAAATAGATCTACATGCTTTCAATAACAGATCATGCGAATTAATCGATCAGTTGATATACTAACAATATCTTTCCATTCAAAAACTCATTTAAAATAGAAATATCAGTTTTATAATTCGATTGGTAATTAACGATCGTTTTATTACAGTATAGCTCTTCAATAGTCTATAAAGCTTAAACTCATAAAACTCATATAACTATTGAATATATTCAGGTAAACCTGAAGTAACTGTAACTGTAGTAAATGCGATTTATCGCCATCTATAATTAGCACGCGCACGCTCTTATATACATGCATATATTATACATGAAATTATTTATAAACAAGTTGTTTATGTGGTTGCCTGGCTAACTTGTCAGACTGATCGATCGATCAGTTTAACTGATTCCTGGACTAACCTAAGTGAGCTGTTGAGGTTGCCGATCTGATTAGGTGGGCAAGTGTGTATATATAGACTACCGTAAACAGGCATAGGTATCAGCATGCTTATATGTAGAGCACCCAGAGCAGACCAGACAAAATGTGATGATATTTATGAGCAGTATTGCGTAAGATTAGCACTGCGAGGTCTAGACAGAGCATTTCGTGTGCTGTGCATGCTATTAGTGAGAGTTATTTGAAGCACGCATTACCTTCTCTTCTTTTATTACCAAAAGAGACACGCACACACACGCACACACACACTCGCGCGCACATCTGACCATAAAGAAACAAACAAAGCGCCAAGCAAGCAAACATACTTAGTTAATAAGATGCCGCATAATGTGCAAATGAAAATGACCAAAATGACGAGGAAAAGCGAAACCCAGTGACCAGTGTCCAGTGACCAGTGAAGAAAAATGGGCAGCCGAACATGGTGGTTGGGCTGGGTGGTGCTTTGGCATCGAATGTGTAACCACTTGAATTTCATTTGGCGAAAAGCTTTATCGAAAATTATGCGAATGCTACTGACTTCTGGCAAGTGGCTGTGGCTGAGGCTGAGGCAGCGGGCGATGGCGACTCCCTCCTTAACTCTCAACTAACTGCTTAGAAGCCTGATAAAAATCCAGCACACAAAACTAAACAAACAGATAATAAAGAGGGAAAATGATGCTGCCAAACCCAAACCCAAACCCAAACCCCAAGCCCCGGCATAGAGACAAACCGAAACCGAAATGAACCGCATCGCAGGCGGTGGGTGAAAGGGGCAGGAGGTCGTGTGGATTGTGTGGATGCTTCGCATATGTGAACCCCCCGCGTTGTGAGCGTGGCGTCCAGTTGCTGCCCATTGCCCCGCCCCGCGCTGCCCTCGAGCCGGCAGTGCCACAGCCTTAGCTCATGCATAATTCAGCAGAATTCTGAATGATTATTCTTTATGGGACTGTTTATTTCTTTTGACCATTTATTTCAAGTTGGTGCGTTGCGTTTTTTTTTTTTTCTGTTCGCTCTCTGCGTACAGCTTCTTTTTTTTTTTTTGTGATTTTCATTATTTTTATACAGTTTCCAGTTGCTTGCGCTCGGAATGATTTCGAGCAACGGTGACGCAAAAATCATCAAATGGACAAACGGCGACTGCTCGGAAATAACCACATGAAGGCACTTGCCTTGTCCTGGCCACTGGCCACTGGCTGTTGGCTGTTGGCTGTTGGCATCTGCGTTGTCTATTCAACCAAAAAGTGCCACACCCCCGGGCGGCCACTCAGCCAACCACACATGACTCTGACATCCCTCGGCCTTCTATTGTAGCTGCTGGACTGCGCCGCTTTCAACGCATCATTTGATTTTATTTTATGTGCCCAAAGTGGCCAAAAAATAAAATAAAATAAAATAGAAACTGAAAAGAGTAAAGACAAAAAACAAAGAGTTTTTATTTGTTTTTGTGTGGCCGCAATTGAATAAAATGTTACTCTAATGCAAGTCGAAGGGGCACTTGCCGTTATTGTTTCTCCACTTGCCAATAGATATTGGCAATAGCTCTGCCAGATAGCGGGCATCGCAGTGCGGTCGCTGCATGAGAATAACTTCATTAGGAAATGGCACACCCGTTCGCCGACAGCCGACAGACGACGCTGTCCAACAGCGGACTGCAGACAGCGGACAGCTAAAGGTAGACCCCAGCCTGGGAGACCTACAGAGATCATGTGAACTCTCACGCGTTATCAGAGCAGCAGCAGCGGGCGATAAAGCCGACGCCCAGTCGAACAGAGAACACATAAAAATAATGAATGACTTGATATTTCGAAATACCCTGTATATATCAGTTGCAGGCTCGTTTCAATGTGTATATTTTTAAAGATTGATAATACAATGCAATTTGGTAAATGAACAGACTAGAAACATAGATTAATATATACTCAATTACTTTTACTCTTCATATTGAAAGGAAAGAGAGAAATAAAGTGTAGATGAGATTCTGAGCAATGAAAAAGCAAAGTAAGTCTAAAGAGCTGCATAATTCGAGTTTCCCTTTCTCTCTTTTTTAGGAATAAAAAAGAATTCAAGAAAATATTAGAATCAAGAAAGCCTTGATGGTTGATTTCATGAAATGAGGAAATAAAATATGAAATCAGGGTATATTATTTTGCCAAAAGGTAGACTTTTATAGCTGTGTGTGAGCTTTTACGTCTGCTCTAGAAAGAAGATAAATAGCCTAACCGAACTAGCCCTTCTCATGCGACTGTTTGGTCGTCTGTCTATAAGTAATTTTACCTACAACACTCAAAGGTGATCATGTTTTAACTAACTTTAACTTTATTTATATTTAATTAATCTAATAATTCCATTTGGCATCTGCATAATACTTCTAAAACCTACACAACTATAAATTTCAGCAAGTATTCTTAGCACAAAGGGTATTTTCCAGTCGACTATTCCCAAATATCATTTTTATCAGTACAATGAAGCAAAGATTTCTCAGCAAATGACATTTAAATTTTTTATAATTTAATTTCTTTAATTTCATAGAAGCTCAAAATCAAGCGCTAGCTATATTATATATTTAATGGCTATTAATTGCTCGCTTGATAAATGAACTAGCTAGAATATTATATTGCTATTATATTATAATAACAAAAATAAATTCATTTGAAAATTCGCCTTCTCACTTTCTTTGCTTAGACATCCAACGAAATCGCAATTACAATTGCAGCGAATAAAAGTTTTAATTACGCCAAAAAATCCAAATTTACTTTTCACGTTTGTTTTTGGCGAGTCTGAGCTTTGGCCTGACTGAGTCTTGGCCTGGGTCGTGTCTCTGGCTCAATCGATGGGAATTTCAATTAAAACTAATTGAAAAGCGCATAAACTTTGTCTGTGGCCAAGTAAACAAAACCAGTTCGCCAAGTCGAAGAACTTTGATGGCTTCAATGGCTCAATATTGAAAGGGCAGTTTTCTTTGTAGCCACGCCCTCCTCCTGCCCCTCCTGCTGCTTCTCTTTTGGCAGCGTCCCCCGCTCAATTGAAGGACAGTTCGTTTGGCAACGTTTTTAATTCGTTTACGTTTATTATTTATTCCGCGGCAAGAAGACAAAAATAAAAACGCTTTTCTCTGACGGTTTGGCTGGCTTTTCCTTTGCCCTGCCAGCATTTTCCTAAATTGTTGTTCACTGTTTGCTCGCCTTGTTGTTTGCTTTTGCGTTTGTCTTTCGGCCATTCTTTATATACAATTTGCATATACACACTATGAAGTATTTTATATATAGAGAGAGAGACGTCGTTCACAATTTTCATTTAAGCGCGCGCTTCTTATATTTTTGTTTTATTTTTCGACAACATTTGCATAACGAAGCAGCAACAACAACAACAACAATAGCAACAATCAGCAGCCTGGCCTGATGTCCTGCTGCTGCGCTCAACTTTTAAGTTGGCTTCGAAACGCGTATTTAGTTGCCATTTGCTTTGCCTTCAATTTGTCCAGCGATGCGTGGGCCGGCACGCCCAAAAGCCCAGACGCCCATGCGCCCACCAAACGTCGAGCTCTAATTAATTTCCCCAATAACTGTACAAGCCCCGCTAAAGGTAGCAGCTGTCCACGGGGCCGAGATGTATCTGCATCTGGATCTGGATCTTTAGGAACTAGCACAGCAATTGTTGTTGAAGCGCCAGGCCGCATAGCTAATGAGCGAGGGCCCCTAGACAGTCAGACAACAGATCGTAGCCCAAAACTGATTGATGTGTGTCAGTCCAAAAAACAACAAAGTGAGAGAGAGAGAGAGGGGCGGAGAGGGAGGGAGGGAGAGAACGTGCCCGAAAACCTTTCGAAACACATAATCTTAATGGCTTTCAAATTGTGGCACATTAAGCAGCTGGTAATTGATATACAAACAAAGTGTGACAGAGAAAGGGTGAAGGAGAGGCTGAGGCTGCAGAAGGGGAGCTGCGGCCATGTCTACATGTGTAACGACAAGCTGCGCGACTGAGAACAACACAGAGACCAAGCGCGCAACCGAGAGACAGAGACCGAGAGACACCCAGTGAAACTCGTTCGCAAGTTAATTAAAATTTCAGAAACGTAAATTGAATTACGAACACAAATTGTAAGCGACTCGTCTCCACGCTCAGCCACCAACTGCTCCAGTTACGCGTGAGAATTTCTGCCCACTCTCTGCATAAAATTTCAATTCCGACAATCGAAGGGAACGCTGCGACACATTCCCAGGAAGACAGGAAGGCTGCTCAATTGCAGCCAATAATCATAAAATTTAATAAAGGTATTTCGCTTGACCGTTAACGCGCAGCGAGTCTCCCTCTCGCTCCCCCTCTCACCACCTCTCGCTGTGTGGCTAGGACGAGCTCTGCTGGCAACAGTGGGTTAATGTATGCAAAACGCATTCAAATTTTATGTATCGCCCGCAACGATCTGCTCTATCCACTTACTACCTCCCAACGGCAAGAACAACATAATTCGCTCTGCATTTGGTTGCCTACCTTCCATGTGTTCCATGTGTGCTCTGTGGCTCGCCCCTGCCTCAGTTCGTGGTGCTAGAGATACACACACATATATTTATATGTATATGTGTATACTGCATGCTCTATTGGGTTTTGGGCAATGCTCGTATCTATGGCACTTAACGGACGCGGCCTTCTCTGCATGTAAATTGCATAGTTTGGGACACTTTGGGTCAGCTAATGAGGGCGATTTGCAGGCGCTCGTCTGGCATGGGAATGAGCTGAGAAAAAGTCGCGTTTCTTCTACAGTCATCCACATACATAGTATATATATAGAGCAGAACAAGGTCAATGGTAGAGTTAACTGATTCAAACATAAATCAAGCCATTAAATTGAAAGCTTTGATAGCTAACTAGGTGTTACAATTTATTGGCAGAGATATGAAGAGTTAGGCACATATAATTAAGTCTTTATTATAATTATCAATGTAATTTTCATATACTACTAGATCTCTACTATCAGACAGCAGCTCATTTCCAACTCTTGAAGAATAAAAGCAAACTGTATAAAAATGTACTTCTCCAAAACATTCTACTGCCCAATCCCAATCTTCTTCCCTAATCTTCAAGATCTTCTTAGAAATACATATATGATTGTTATTTAGTAACTCCAGCTTAATTGTTGGCTCTCGCACTCCGAGCAAGAGGGGCTATCTAAATTTAGTGACTCGTTTATCTTCGTGCGAAATCTGAAAAGAAACTAAAAACGGGAAGCACTAAAAAATCTCGCATATGCTTAAGCCATTGCGAGTGCCACTCGAGGGTTTACAGACAATTGCACTTTATGAACCGCAAATCGCATCAATTATAAGATGAGCTCGCAGTGCTGTGCAAAGTTTTACAACTTGGCAAACAAGTCGACGCTTAAGTTTTGGCAATAAATCAAATTTGCTTCAAGCCATAAAAACGCCACACATTAGCACAACAAAAAGGACGCAGGACAAAGCGCGCTATCCACCTACTCCCCTCTCTCTCCCACTCTCGCTCTCGGATAGTCGTAAATCTGAAAATCACTTGTCGCGATTTGAGCTGCCGTGCTGCTAGCAAGGACTCGGCTCAAGGACTCGCAGAGGCGCATTAAATTTTACGCATTATTAGAAGAAGCCAACACAAAGGATAACAACGAAAAATTAGGCACATTTGCGGCTAAACGCAGGGATGTCAGCCTGTCAAATGTCCTCGACTTGGCCAGCAGTAGGGGTAGTGCCAGCAGTAGGGGTAGTGCCAGCAGCAGGGGCAGAGCCAGGGAGCCGGGGTTGGTTTAGAGTTTAGCGCTCGTCGCATCATTCCACTTCATTGGCGGCTTTTGTAACATTTGTTTGTGACGTTAATTTATACAATAATTGTGACAAGGACCAAGGACCAAGGACCAAGCATCATTTAGCCATGGACAACGCCGCATGCGCTGCCCCAAAAGGAAACTTTCACTCCCGACTCCAACTCCGCTGACTCGGCTAGTTAATATAGAAACGCGATCCGACATTTGACTAAGGTTTTTAATACGCATCTCTTCATCCGGACATTGGCCATTAGACAGCGCTGTCTGACGTCACGTTTTTAATGGAATTTTTATGTATTTGTTGTGTGCAGCTTTTACATGCGAATCAGGCTTGGAATTTCACAAAATTTATTCTAAATTATATTCATATAAATGTTAAAAAAGTTGCACGGCCTGCACACACGCACACACGTGTGACACATGAATATTGAAAGTGTGTGTGTGTGTGTGTGTGTGTGTGTATGCCTAACACACACTCCATTGCCAGTCTGTGCTTTGCCAGCTCCAACTTTCATTACGAAACGCATCTCATATGAGAAAGTTTTGCGGCCCAGTGACAAGCGGCCAGCCCCTCAGACCCGGCCCATTTCTGCAGCTGCCACATCCACCTGAGACAGACAGGTGTTAAAAGCCAGGGGTCTGCATATATTAATATCCCAAATGCGAATGTTCCGGCACAGGTAGCTTAGCAAAAGAGAACAGAAAAAATAAATAAAAAACGAAAGAAAAACATTAAAATTTTCATGAAAAATGTCATCAACAAAAGTTTGAAATGCAAATAATTTTGTTGTTGTAGTTGTAGTTGTTGCTGCTGCTGCTGCTGTTGCTGTTGAGTGCTCTTCGGGCGGACAAAGAATGTCTCTGCGGCAGACACACATCAACACACACACACACACACACACGCACACCCACAGTAGTGTGATATATCCATTTGATATGCTTAGCAACTGCGTGAGGAATGGAATATATAAAAAAATAAGCGTAGCTTGCTTTTTGGGGCTACGTTTTTGGCACACACATCACGAACGTGGCGATGAAGCCATCAGCCATCAGGCAACGGGCCCAGCGGCATTAGAATGCATTTAGAAACGCATTTATCATCACGTCGGGATTTGTATTTGGCTCAGAGCAGGAAACCACATTGCAAACGCCAGGCACAATCAGCGAGCAAATCCGCAGCAGCTGATCGATTATGATTGATGTGTGCTGTAAAAAGTGGCAGATAAAAGATACGGGGAGTTCCATATATATGATAAACCAATTGCAATTAAAATTTAAATATAGATAAGCGCGCGGGCGTGGCTCTACGTGATTTCATTAGCAAATCACAGAGAAATCAAATCAAAGCCAAAGCCTGGCCAGGCTACAGCTCTGGAGCTGGTGCTCGCTCCACTGCAGCAATGCTGCGAGGGTGTCTGCTTGGCTGCCTGACTGCCTGGCTGTCTTGTCCTTATGGCCGCACTCAACGCTCAGCACTTGGCTGCACTCAAGTGTCGCGACGTCGCCATTAAGGCATTCGCCACGCTCAATTCGCAACATGGACACACGGAGTCCGCATCAGCAGCAGCGCCAGCTCATACGAGTCGCAACAACAGTTATAATATAAAAATGGCGTCTTAAGTCAGTTGGCTGACGCCCCCAACTGGGCGAGCAAGTCATTAACTCGGCTCAAGAGCTTTTATCTCGCCACTTGAACGCATCTTAGCCTACCCCTGCTCGAGCACAACAGCCTCCCATCCGCCCGATTTCCCCCACCCTGCTGCTCTCTTCCACTAACTGTCATTGGCAGTCGCCATTTTCTACAGCTCTCTCTCTCTCTCTCTCTCTCTCTCACACTCCCTCTCTTTCTCTGTCTGTCTGTATCTGTTTCTCTATATTTTCTGTTAATTTCCATGGCGCAATTACACGCAACTGATAAACACACAAATTGCACCCAGATTAAAAAGCAAGCGGGAACAAGTTTTATGGCTCGCCCGTCGCGCTGAACCGACTCGACCGACTGACTGGAGCCGACATAAAAATTAAATAATTTCACTACAATTGTCTAGCTACAAAGAAAAAAGCAACAGAATTATCTAAATGAAAGATTGCACTGAACAATCTAAAGACATTCAATAGAGTTTGCTTGCAGCTGCTGAGAGTAGAGCAAGGGATATAAAGAGAACTGCAAGATATTGTATTTTAATAGTAGAACACTCTGCATTATAATGCGTTCTATTAGAGACCTAGCATCTTATCAGCTTACATAAGTACAGGTTAAATAACTCAAAGTCTCTTATTTAATATATAATGTACTATACTACTACTATATAACGTCTATAATCAAGTAGAAAATATTACGCATAGTTTTGTGTAAGGTAATATAGAATACTATATTTTACACTAGATATTTTCGACTTTGAAATGTTTTTTTTTTTTCAGGAAAAATCTCACTAGACAGAATTCTTTGAAATCGATAATCTGATTGTAATAGAATAGTAGATTTTAGGAAATACTGTCCAGTAAGATTTTTCCTGAATCGAACTTCCCCAAAAATGAAATTCATTTGCTGCATTATTCATATGTCATATAGAAGTTAATTTTGAATAAGCAAAATTCTTCTCAAATTTGTAACTATATACATAATATTGTAGATGGAGAAAAAGAAAGAGAAAAAGTTGTCTCTGTAAACTCTAAATAAGATCGAAGAAATCGAATAAGATTTGCCAAAGAAAGAAACTTCTCTTTCACACTCTATATAAAATTTCTCAGTTTAATCAAGAATCAAAGACCGCAAGAATATAAAGGATATATAAAGGAAATATAATATACATTTCTATTAAAATACTTCAAGAATTTCCTTCCACTCCATTGTATAGGGCACTCAAGTTTCGACTCTGATTGCCTTTCAATGATTTCCCATTCGAGTAAGTCGCATTTGATTGCTGAGTTGTCAAGAATTATGCGCGCATTTTACGAGCGCTATAAAAGCAGCAGAACGACATATGTAAGCTGGATATCAAAAAGTCAGATTGTATAAATTGGAAATCGTGGATAAATCTATTAACTAATTAAAATAGTTGCAGAGCATAAAATCGAACGGCGCACATGGGGCAATCAATTAATTCTGTGCGTGGGCGTCGCTGGACAAGCGTGTATCAATTATTTTAATGACGCCCTGGCCAAGGGGGCGACAGAGCTGATGGTCACTGTCCGTTGCTCACATTAGGATGCACCCCTGAGCAGTGGTCAGACAATTGACAGTTTATCAGCTAAGAGAGGGGAGGGGAGGGGGGTAGCTGTTCAATGAGGCGTTGAGGTGCGGATTTGTATATCGAACTGAACGGAAAGTCAACCCTCGAATGCGATTTTAAACAATTTGAACAATTTGTTAAGCAATTTGCGGTTGACGCCTCGCACACCAATAACAACAATAAATTAGTTCGATTTGTTGCCCGGGGTGCCACACCCACGCGAGGGGAGTTCATACAATTAAAATGGATTCGACATTCTGTTAACAATAATGAGCCACGTTCCCAAGTGCGCATATGTGCGCGATTTATTGGCAATTTAATTGGAAAATTCATCAAGTCTTAATTGCTCATTAGGAAGTGTCGACTTGACTTGACTCTTGCATATAAATTGCATTCGAGATTTGTTGCCAAATGCCGCAAGACAATGCAAATTTTGCGCAATGCCAAAACTTAAAGCTCCACAGTCGCAGCCGCAGCCTCAGCCTCAGCTCAAGATACGCGACCACAAGCTGCTCCCCAGCCACGCTTATCTCGGCGAGGAGTGACATGGCCGCAGGAATTAATGCAGTTCTTCGTCCGATTTGCATAATCGCTGTCAACTCAACCCAAAGCCGAAAAAGTCGCACGGCCCCGGCCCAGGCCCCGGCCGTAGTCATGGCTCACTCACTCATGCAATTGACACACATCATTTCACGCACTGACGCCTTTCAATAAACCAAATTTATCACAAGCGCACAATCTAACTAGTAGCTGAAAGACAGAAAGAGAGAGAGGGGGAGAGAGGGAGAATCAACAATTTAAAATCCTTGAACATATTTGGGAAACGACAATTGCGACACGGGACACACGCGTCCGCTACCAAAACAGATACAAGTGTAATCAGTCAAGCGTTTTGTCAGCCATACACAGAGTGACATCATCATCATCATCATCATCGTCATCGTCATCGTCATCGCCATCGCCATCGCCATCCTCTGGCTGAGCCAAGGACCTTGTCAGGAATCTGCATATCAAAAAACCCAAACAGAAAGGCGAAGAAAAACTCGAGCCCTTACCCCAAATTGCTGCGATGAGTTCGCTTCGTGTCGCACTCTGAAAAGGGTTGCTGATTAGAGACCGTTCAGGGTTCGTGGACCATGAATGAATGGATGATGGCTCGGTTTGCGGTTCGCCTGCCACGCCAAGGTGCGACACCCACCACAGCAGCAGTAGCAGCAGCCAAGCCAGCCAAACCAACTGCAATCCGTTCTGAAATTATCCGCACTAATTCCAGAAGCCTCAACGCAGTTATTTTGTAAATCTCGACGCATTCTGTTGATGTTTTTAATTAATTTTCAACGCCAGCGCTGACAGCTCTCCTCTCTCTATCTCTCTTTGGGTTTGGGTAGGGTTTGGATTTGGGTTTGGGTTCGGAATTCTCCATTTCGCTTGTATTTTTTGATATGATAAACATGTTGAGGTGTTGATTTCTGATCCGCATTAATTTGTCAATCGCAAGTCGTGCGTTTTGCCACTTCTTTTTCCTTCTTGGAGTGAGCTAATCCGATTCCTGTTTGATGGGTTCATCGCGGCTTGAGATGACATCAATAATTTAATGTAAATTGCACGAAATTCCTGATTAGATTCGATAAAATAAAAATATACAACAATTCCTTAAACATGTTTGTAAATTTATTACGCCTGAATTTGAAACATTTCAAACTTTAAGCGAATGTAACTCGATCATTTCCCAAAGTATTTCTGCCAGTTTACTAAGACTCGACGAGTCGAGGCCCGAATGAGACTTATTAATAAGGCCAGTGGACGACTCCTGCTGCTTGGCGGAGCTCAATCAACATTGCATTGATTCATAAGCCTCATTACGACACCCAGCACAGCACAGGCAGTTGATATGCTGGCCAGGGCGTCTGTTCCTGCACCCGCTGCTGGCCATACCCGAGATGTTTTCATCATGAGCTGCTAGCCGCAAACGGCCAACTGACGATTGCAACTACAACTACAACTTGTTGTTGCTGTTGTTGTTTTTGTTGTGGCCTGCCGGCCATTCTGCACATTCACAAAATTGATTTCATTCACAACATGCCACGTTTGCCTCATTAAATCATCACTCAGAAGCTATCAATGTTCGATTTGCCATTGGCCAACATATGCTTCCAGCTGCCTGGTTGATATTCATGTAAAAATCGCTTTAAGCGCACAAAAATGCAAGTTGCTCGACAGGAGGCGAGAGATGGGAGGCGGGAGACGGGAGACGGGAGACGAGTGGCGTGAGGAGAGAAGGGCTCCAGTGAAGCAAATTAATTATGAATCAGAGAACAATGTAATTACATGAAATCCGATCGATGAACATGGGGCCCACTGGCACAAAAGGCAGTGAAAAACGCTCGGCCAGAAAATGCAATTGACATTTTTACAACGTTGTTGTTACAAAGGAACGCCAACCATGTCGCCTGGCAGCCAAGAACAGCAGGGAAAGTTGCTTGAGAAACATGACAAATATCTGTGACAATCGACTGATTGTTGGGTGCCAGCATCAGCTGCAGTTTCAGCTTCAGCTGCAGCTTCAGTTTCAGCAGCGAACTGCAGCCATGTGGATCCATGGAACCCGTTTGCGCACGCGTGAATGCCGCTGAGCCAGCGGGAATTGTTTAATGGCGCTAAACGGCCTGTTGGGCCAGCGGATGCAGTTCGCTCCAAAAAGTGCTCCCCAGCCCGCTGCCCCCTGCCCGCTGCCCCCTGCCCGCTGACTGCCAACTGCTGACTGCTGTACTAATAGTTAAAGATAAATATCGCAGCGGGTTGGCAGTGTAGCTTTAAGGCCAAAACCAGCCGACGGACTACGCCTACATTCTGTCTAAAAGCAAACCCAACATCTGCAGGGGCCTTGCCAAACAGCAGAGCAAAAAAAAAAAAAAAAATTGAATTGACTACAAAGCAGCTCCGCCTTTTTCGCATTAGTTGGAGCATATAAAAAGGAAAACAGAAAGCCCTAAAAAAATACAAAAACAAAGGGTTGTGTACACAAAATGTGAGACTAAAGTCAGCTAAATGTGGCCAAAATATTTAAAGTTATTTTTACTTACATTTTCATGAAAAGTTCATTTCAATACATACAGATAATAAGTATAATAATTCTAGCTTGTTTTAAATTTAGTTAAAAATTGTTTCAACAAAGTTTCCTTAAAGCTTATACTTATATATATATGCATATATATATAAATTTTCATTCGTGTTTCTTGTTTTCTTTGCATTGGCAACTGCGCATGGAAAGTTTTTTGCATTAGAGCTCCTCCTATTTTGAACGCGCGAATGGCAAAGCGCACACTACTCACACAGCGAGACAGTTGCCCTTAGTCACACACACACTCACTCACACAGACAGAGACCGAGTAGGAGCTCTCTCACATACGGCAGCTGGCGCAGCTTCGACTATTTTCGTAGCATACTTTTAGGTGGTGGCTGCATCTTCGTACGAGCGGGAGTGTCGCTGCTTATATACCCGCCACTAGTACATACGAACTATGTGTATATATTCATTTTTACCCTGACTGTCACTGCAGCGGCACGCCCACCGACTGCCGCCCATCGGCCACCTGCCCACCTGCCCACCTGCCCAACTGCCCACACGTAAATTTCAATTTGTCTGCAGCTTGGAAATTGCTTTTTTGTGCATTTTGTCAAATGAATTTTCCACGTCTCTCACAGGACTTATTTGGAATTTGTTTGCAGCATCTCTTTGCTTGATTTATACGCATTATGTTTACTTTTTTTCTGCTCTTTTTTTCTCATTTCTGCTTTTTTGTCATCTTCTTTTACGGCGCTGCTGAAATTCTTATCTCGTCGTCAACTAATTTTGTGATTGCACGCTGCGAGCCAGCGAGCTAAAGGACAGAAAGGCTCTGAATTTAAATTGGATTTTTGCGCACATTAAAATGCATTTTACATGGTGTTAGTTATGAATGCGAATATGAGAAAATAACGAGGCCCCAGCCAACCCAGCCCCAACGTTGGTTCTCGCCCTCAAGTGGGCCAACAAATAGCCAGACCTGGCCCGAACTACACTAAATGTTTACGTTTCCTGAGCGTTAGCAAACATTTAGCAATGTTTCCACAATTCGCAAATAATTGTCGGCATACCAAGAGTGAATGGAGCCATAAAACGAGGCCCTGCCCGGGTCAGCTGACGTGACGCCTGGCCACAAATGCACAGCCAGCAAAATAAAAGGAAAACAACACAAAATAAGCTGAAAAAATGCCCAATGTAACGAAATACTCGTTACGTGGCCATAACACAGAACATGGCTAATTCTTGCATGACAATTTCACATTCATAACCCTTTTGTCCACGCTGTCCGCTTTTGGCTGGCTGCCAGTCTTCCGACCCATAATTATGCTCTCCCTATAGACCTCAACAGCGCTGGGGCATTGCGACCTGATCAAGGCGTTTGCCAAGCCAACATCTCTGCTCTATTTAGCTGACTATAGGACTTGCTTTTTCCTATAATCTATCTCTGTCACTCTCAATATGTTTCTCTCACAATCGTGCTCTCTGTTTGTATCGCTTTCTATTTCATGCTTCCTCTTACATTCTCTTTATTTTTGTACTTCATCATATCTATCTCTCTCTCTCTCTCTCTCTCTCGCTCTCTATACATATATATCTCTCTCATTCCCTCGCTGTATAACTCCCTATCTGTCTCTTTCTCTCTTTATTTATACATCTCCCATTCTCTCTCTAACTCTCTCTCTTTATATCTATCTATCTCTATATCTCCCTATTTCTATCTCAATCTCTCGCTATCTATCTGTCTCTCTCACTCTCTCACACCCACTCTCTATCTATTTATCTTTCCCATTCTCTCTCTATCTCTATCTTTCCTTCTCTCTCTCTCTCTCTCTCTCTATGTGTCTCCCAACCTTCTCTTCCTTTTCGTCTCTCTCTCTCTCTCTCTGTCTTTTTATTCTCTATCTCTATTAAATTTTACTGAATTAAACACTGCTCTACACAGAATCTTCTAGTCGAGCATTCCCCGCTAAAATATGCCTAGACATTTTTTATATACATGCTGCGCGGCTTTTTTTGTAAGCCGCGATTTGCGATTGTTCTTTTCAAGCGTTCTGTTAATTGTTAATTTTTATGGTCTGGCAATTGCCGCTGAAACAACAACAACAACGACAACAACAAACACAGCGACAACAATCAGATGAGACAGACAACGAGAACCAGTGAAAATGAAGAAATTAAAGTGCCCCAGAGAGGCAAAGGCAAAGACTGGGCTGGGACTGGAGCTGGTTTTGGGGCTGGCCAGCGCAACTAGAGGCAACTAGAAGTAGCAGCGCCTATAAAAACAATTTAGCCAGGCTATAAAATACCGAAAATAGCTTCAAAATTGAATTTCCAAGATGCGTGCAGCGTTTTATTGATAGACAGATAGAGATACTTAGGCACACACATACATATAGTATCTATCTGCGTGTGTGTGTGTGTGGGGGAATTGGGTTCTTTAGCGATTGAATGCTAACACCCACAGCAACACGAAACATCAAAGCCCAAACCAGTCAGCGAGACCATTAAAGGCGATTCGCTTTTTTTTTTTTTTTTTTTTTAAATATATTTATTTTGATACTCTGATACTCGGGCAACCCTTTCACGCACTTACGCAGCCAAAGCAAATATTGAGTGCGAATGTGGGTGGGGGATTGGCTTGGGGTGGTGTGGTGTGGGAGAGAGTATTTCAATTTTAAAGTAAATATTTGCCTCCAGGGTGCTTTTGATATTTATTACCTTTTTTTGGAAAGAACTGCTCGCCCGGCATCGATAGGGCACTGGTCAGTAGTGGACATTAGCCAAAAGCAATTTAGGGCCATAAATTTGCGACTTTCGAGTGGTGGCAAATGGCGTTAAATGCGCCAGCTTCGGCGACTGTCAATTGGCCAAAGTGCCACTGCCACGGCCAAGGCAAATGCAAACAAATTACAATTATGCTAGAGTCCCCGAGTCGACCATAATGGTCTAATAGCCGACAATCCCCATGAATAGACAGCTGACAAATGATGCCAGAGCTGGGCGACATTAAGCGATTAACTCGTTCCTCGAAGCCCTGAGAGCCGGAGCTGGCGAAGAGGCAGGTGGAACTTAACATATTGTTAACGTGGGCAAGCGAATGTCTTAAGGGGATTTCAATGTCCTTGCCTGATGATGCGTTCGCTGCGCTCTCTCTCTTTCTCTGCTCTCTGCTCCCTGCGCTCTCTGCTCCTGTCGGCCGGCCAATGACATGCAAATATATGCAGATCTGCGCTTTTGTCATGTCAACGCAGGCAAATCGAGAGGTAACCCAAAAAATTTTCTAACCAACTTAACTTGTCGATTTTATTTTTCCTCTCTTCGCATTCTTCGGCTGTATAAATTGTACTCCTTTTTGGATATTTGCTTAAATCTGCGCGCATGTTTTCTGTGGTAAATAAAAAATGCAAAATAAATGCGTAAATCTCTGGAAACTGGAGGAAAGGTCGGGGCCCACTGAGCACAGCAGCATGGTAAATGTGTCTGCAAACTTTTTGCAGGTGCCATCCGTATCTTTTGTGTGTCTGGCCGATTTCAGATTTCAGTTTCAATGCAGACGAGTACAACAACAACAGCAACAACAACAACAAAGACGACAACGACAATGTTGGCAACAACAAGCAGAGACAGTTCATCAACTTGACTTGTGATTTCCGGTTTTTTTTTCCTTTCATTTTTTTTTTTTTTTTTGTTCCT